TGCCTTAGCCTCCTGAGTGACTGGGATACAGGCACCTACCACCACGCCCAGCTAATTTTTGTATTTTTAGTAGAGAAAGGGTTTTACCATGTCAGCCAGACTGGTCTGGAACTCCTGACCCTGTGATCCACCCACCTTGACCTCCCAAAGTGCACGGATTACAGGCGTGAGCCACTGCTCCCAGCCAAAAGTCAGTATCATTTCTGTACAACAATAATGAACTAGCTAAGAAAGAAATCTAGAAGATAATTCTATTTATGATATTTAAAAATAAATACATAAAATACCTATGAATACATTTAATCAAGAAGGTAAAGGATCTCTACAAAAAAAAGTCTGCAAAACACTTATGAAAGAAACTAAAGAGGACACAAACAAATGGACAGACATCCCATGCTCATGGATAAGAAGAATGAATATCGCTAAAATGATATATTACCTAAAGCAATCTGCAAATTTAATGCAATCTCTATCAAAATACCAATGTCATTTTTCATGGAAATAGAGAAAAAATTCTAAAATTCAAATGGAACAACAAAAGTATCCAAAGCAATGGTGAGCAAAAAGAACAAAGCTGAAAGTATCACACTACCTGGCTTCAAATTATATTACAATATAGCAACCAAACCAGCATGGTAGTGCTATAAACACAGACTCTAGACCAATGAAGCAGAATAGAGACCCAGATTTAAGTCTGCATATTTACTGCCAACTGATTTTTCAACCAAGGCACTAAGAGTAAACACTGTGGAAAGGACACCCTCTTTAGTAAATGGTGCTGAGAAAACTGGAAATCCATATATAGAATAATAAAACTAGATCCCTGTCTCTCACCATATACAAAAATCAACTCTAAAAGGATTAAATACAAATGCAAATCCTAAAATTATAAATCTACTATAAAAAACCATAGGAGAAATGCTCTGGGAGATTGGACTAGGCAATAATTTTATGACTAATCCTGCAAAAACTGGCAACAAAGGAAAAAAATAGACAAATAGGATTACATCAAACTAAAACGCTTCTGCACAGCAAAGGAAACAATCAAGAGAGTAAAGACACACACTGCAGAATGGGAGGAAATAATTGCAAACCATTCATCCCACAAGGGACTAATGTCCAGAATATACAAGGAACTCAAAAAACTCAACAGAATAATATATATAAAAATTGCACTAAAAATTGGGCAAAGGACATTCATAGACATTTCTTGTCTGTACAAAAGAAAGTCTGTATAAAAACAGACTCACAGACCTGTGAAACAGAGTAGAGAATCCAGAAATATTATTAAGTCCACATATTCATAGCCAACTAATTTCCAACAAAGATGCCAAGAATAAACATTGGGAAAAAGGCATTCTCTGCAATAAATGATGCCAAAAAAACTGGAAATCCATACGCAAAAGAATGAAACTAGACAACTATCACTCACAAGCTACAAAAATCAACCCAAAATACTTTCTTTTATATAGACTTTCTCAAAAGAAGTCATACAGATGGCTAACAAGTTTGTTTAAAAAATGCCCAGCATCATCAATCATCAGAGAAATGCAAATCAAAACCACAATGAGATATCATTTTACTACAGTTAGAATGACTATTATCAAAAAGACAAAAAATAACAAATGGTGACCAGAATGCATGGAAGAGGGAAGTTTATACACTCTTATGGGAACGTAAATAAGTACAGCCATTATGAAAAATAGTATGGAAGCGTCTCAAAACACTGAAGATAGAACTACCGTATGATCCAGCAATCTCATTACGGGGTATTTATCCAGTAGCAGGAAAGGAAATCAGTAAATCGAAGTGACATCTGTGCCCCCATATTTATTACAGCACTATTCACAATTGGTTGATATGGAATCAACCTAATTGTCTATCAATAGATGAATGGAGAAAGAAAATATGAAATGTATATTTAATAAAGTACACTTAGCCATCACAATGAAATTGTGTTATTCACAGCAACGTAGATGGCACTAAAGATCATTATGTTAAGTGAAATAAGGCAGGAAAAACAAATATCACATGTTCTTGATATACGGGATTTTAAAAAGCTGATCTCATGAAAGTAGAGTAGAAGGCTAGCTCCCAGAGGCTGAAAAGATAGGGGTAGATGGGAAGTTGGTTATGTGTATACAAACATAGTTAGAAGGAGTAAGTTATAGTGTTCGATAACACAGTAGGCTGACTATAGCTATATATTGTATATTTCAAAATAGCTAGAAGATTTGAAGTATTCCCAACACAAAAAATTAATAACTGTTCAAGGTGATCGATATCCTAAGTACCTTTATTTGATCATTACGCATGATACAAATGTGTATCAAAATATCACATATACCCCACAAATACGTTCAAATATTATGCATTAATAATAATTTTTTAAAATTCAAGGGAGCCAAAAAACAGTCATGTTTTAATGCCAGGATAAGAAGGCAATAATAGAAAAAACATCATTCTAAAACTGACATAGTTTTCTGATATTGAAGTCTGGGTTTAAGGGAAGGTACACATTTCACTGCAGATTAGGACATTTTGAGGCTTTACATTGGTAGAAGCAGGATATTAGTGATAGTACTTACGTTGTATCAACAGTTGTATACAATCTGAGATGGAGCAGATGGTTTGAGTTTTGAGAACATTAAGCGTGTGACAGATAAATGGAATTTTTGCCAAAATATTAAATATTGGTTAATAAAATATTTTCAACCAACCCTTCTTTAATTAATTAATTAAATTAATTAAATTAATCCCATCAGCATAATCATTACTGTCCCTTTATGCACTTCATAGAAAATTCATGGTGGAACCATCATTTTAACTTTGCATTTTAATTCATTTCCATGCTGCTGGAGTCCCATGAGTCCTAGATTGAATGCCACAGTTGCTAGTTCCAGGATTCAGGCAGTTGGGTCAATCTGGAGGGTGGAGATAGGGAAACAACTATGAATCTGTTTTCACAAAAGCCAGATGAATTCTGTAGCAAAGAAGTCATGGCAAAAGAAAGGGCTGCAGTTTTAAGCAACGGAGATATGGACAGCCATCAGGCAGCCCACCAGGGACTTCTAATGGGTTTGGTGTAAAGGACAGCCACTTCCAGTAAGCGGGAACCTAATGGATAAGTAATTAAATGGTAAACACTGAAAGAACAAGCTCTCAGAACATGTGTGTGAGGAGGGGTTCCCAAAACTATAGGAGGACATTGAGGGATTTTATTCTAATAGACACTGAGTGAATATATTATTTTTGCATCCATTATTGTTACTCTGGTCTTAGTCTGTTGTCACCTGAAAAACGCAGATTACTTTTACATCTCTGGAAAGAATAGTGGCTTGGACACCAGATGGCACCCTCAAAAGGCACACGTAAGTAGGCTTCTTGTCTCTGTCTTTAAAACAATAAGCACTTAAAGTGTCACTTGGTGAAAACAGCAGTTATCAGGAAATCACTTAGCTGAGATAAAAAAAGAAAAGAATCCTGTAATAGCAGTTAATCTTCTAAATAAGAATTTTCCACTCTTGGGTCAGACCAATAAATGACATGGCATTTAGACATCGAATTCATGCCTTCCCTTGCAACTGAGCATCAGACACACATACATGGTGGAAACGTTCTTTTAGCATTACACTGTTTTCTTAGTTTGCATTGCTAGTCACCTTTGTATCATTTGCATATGATTTAGAAAATATTTTAGAACAACCCAATAACAACTTCGAGATTAAAAAAAAAATCTACAGACTTCACAGCTCCTTCCTATTACATGAATGTGTAAATTGAATTCCCTCTCACGAGAAAAAAACAAGGGCTGGCTTCCCAACAATGTTTTCATTGGCTTTAGGGAACTAAAACACACCAGTGTCTGGGTGAGTAATACTTCCTGTAAAATAAAGATAGATCAACACATAATTAAGTCCTGGCTGCAATAATTGTTGTCTTGGAAACAGTTTTGGGGATAAATATGGTTATGTTAATGAAACTACCCATGATTTCCACTAATGATCCAGTTTATTAATTAGGCCAGGACATTTTTCCACCCTGTGCTATCCATTTTGGAATACTGAAAAAGGGTTAAAAACAACAACAACAACAACAAACTTGTAAGAGAACACTGTAGGAGAAAAAAAAGGACAAATCTTAAATTCTTTATCAACTCTTGTAAGGATTCCAGTTGGAAGAGTAGATCGAAAGTGCTTTTTGGATTATTTATGGGTTTCAAAGATTCTTCCTACTCCACTCGGCAGAAAAACAGAGTTGTAATAGACAGCATTTCGAATTCATAATCCTTAACGTTATTTCTCCGAACTCGACATCCTAAATAGCCAGCGTTTTCTAATTCCAGGACTGGGTGTTCAGTAGTTTTGTAGGAAGTTCTACTTAATGCCGAGACCAAAGGGGCGCCTGCCTGCTCTGAGGGTTTTGCTGAGGCCGAGTGTGAACTCTGGGCGAGAGAGCGCATCTCAGATCTTAGATCACACCCACTCAGGGTGTGCGTGCGAGTGTGTGCGCGGTGCCTGCGCGCGTGTGTACGTGTGAGGAGGTGTGCGCCAAAGGGGTGGGGTGAGGGGCGGCGAGGAGGGCTCTAGGTGAAGCGTGGGGAGAGGGAGGTCGCCCGCTCCGGCCTCTCCCCAGGGGCCCTGCGGCTGGCTCGCGCTCTGGCTGCACCTCCTGGTGCGCGCCGCGGCGGCGCCACAGGCCCCTAGACCCTGTGACCACCGCCCTCCTGCCGCCCGTCCGGCAGCTGGGACCCGTGATGGCGCGGGGCTGACAGCCGCCTCCTCCCGGACCCCTGTGTCCCGCCCGGGGCTCGCGGGGGCTGCGGCGCCGACTGGAGCTGCATGTGGGGCGGGCGCGCCGGAGCCCAGATCGAGCGGCCCTCTGCGCCCCCGAGGCGGTGCCCGGCCGCGCCAGAGGACGAGGAGAAGGAGCGTCGGGCAGGGCCGGGCTCCCCTCGTGCCGCGGCCCCGGAGCAAGGGCTCCCCGGAGTGGACTTGGGGCGTCCCAGCCCAGGAGGAGAGACCCGGAAGCAGAAGCGGAGCCGCGAGTCGAGCTGAGCCACTGCCCCTGCTGCCCGCCGGCGCCGGGTGGGGGTCCCGGCGGCTGGATGGGCAGCGGCGGCGCGGGCCGCGGGCGGCGATGGGCGAGGAGCAGAGCACGGTGAGCGGCGGCGGCGGGCCACAGGAGTCGCAGACCCTGGCCGGTGGCACTGCGGGCCACCCCGAGCCTCCGAGGCCGCAGGGGGACAGCGTCCGGCCGCCCCCGCTGTGTGCCGCCTCCGCTGAGCCGAGCAGCGGTGGCTGTGGAAGCGACTGGGGCTGCGCGGACACCAGCGCCCCGGCGCCGGCGAGGAGCTTGGGGGCCCCGAGCTGGAGGCAGAGCCGAGCACCGGCGCAGCCTGCGGGACTGGCACTCGCCGGGCCTCTCAACCCCCAGACCTTGCGACTGCAGTTGGACCTGGAGGAGGAAGAGGAGGAAGCTGGGGACCGAAAACAGGGAGGGGATGAACAGCAGGAGGCGCCCCCCGGGGAGGAGTTGGCGCCCGGGACCCGCGAGGGGGCTGCCGACGGACTGGTCCTGGACGTGCTGGGTCAACGGCGCCCGCCCCTCGCCAAGAGACAAGTCTTTTGCTCCGTGTACTGCGTGGAGAGCGACTTGCCTGAGGCCCCTGCCTCGGAGCAGCTCTCGCCGCCCGCGTCGCCACTTGGGGCTCCGCCAGTGCCGAACCCTCCCAGCACCCGCTCTTCCTTCCCTAGCCCCCGGCTGTCCCTCCCAGCCGATTCCCTCTCCCCCGACGGCGGCAGCATCGAGCTGGAATTCTACCTGGCGCCCGAGCCGTTCTCCATGCCCAGCTTGTTGGGAGCTCCACCCTACTCTGGCTTGGGCGGTGTAGGGGATCCCTATGCGCCCCTCATGGTGCTGATGTGCCGGGTGTGCCTGGAAGACAAACCCATCAAGCCCCTGCCTTGCTGCAAGAAGGCCGTGTGCGAGGAGTGCCTCAAAATCTACCTGAGCGCCCAGGTAACTTCACCCCTTTCTCTTCCCCATTTATTATTCCAAATCACTGGCAAGGAGGTCCTGCTCTCAATCTAATCTTCCTGCTCCCGGGAAGAGGTGACCGACACACTTACTAAGGATCTCTTGTTAGTTTCTCACGTCTCAGTTGTTATTTAAGTGTATTTTGACCTCACTGGTTTACTTAACTGGAATGTAACTTTGCTCTGAACTTCAGGCTATTGTTGGCAGGTGTAGAAGCCACAAGGCACAAGGAGTTGCCCTCTGCTTATTTCTTACACAGGATTGCAAGCACGAGCTTGCTCAAAGGAGGAGGGCAAGAGACTGCCTCATCGGCCTGGTATCCCATAAACTAACAAGCAGTGGGCATAGAATAAATATTTATGGAGCTGGTGGAGAAAAGAATTGTAATCAATATTTCAGACCCCTAATACATGAATTTGTAATTTTGTTTCATTTATATATTCCAGAAAAGCGTGCATGTTTAAAAAAATGTATCCCTTGGCCTTTGCCTACTTTTCAGTTTCCTTTTTCCACAGCAAAGTTGAAGTACTTTTTTTCACTGAGGTTTTAAGCCAGCACTCTTTCAAAGGGAAACAAAACAGAAAGAGCAAAACAAAGCAAAGAGAGGCTAAGAGGTTTCTCAACAAGCACTGGTGAAACTTTCGTTGCTTTTATTTGAAAACTTGTTTTTTTCTTGGAAAGCTTGAGAGTGCAACAGACCAGCTTTCCTTCACGGACGGTGAATGCGTTCTTCCAGCAGTTTTCAATCTGTGATGTTTCTGCCAGTGTTTTGCACAGTCCCGAATGCCCTTTGATCCTGTGTCCAATTGTCCTAGGCCTATTCATCTTTCAAAACCCTGTCTGTTCAGGTGCCAGCTCTTCTGTGAAGCGTTGCCTCACCCTCCAAGTCACTGCTTATATACTTTCACAATATCTTACATACATTGCAATTGTTTCTTTCGTGTCTGCTTGTCTTGTTAGACTCTCTGGACAATGTCTTAGATCCTCTGTGTGGTAGCTTCATGTTGAGTCCCTTGCACATAATAGTGTTTTTAATAACATTGGCTGAGGCAAACTGACCAGAGCTCCATACCATGTGATTCCTCTGTGTTTTGTGGCTAACCCATGCTTGGGTCTAGACTGAAAGTGTATACGGTGCCCAACTGAAAATGCAAACAGAGACTTAAAACGGAATGTTACACAAACAGTAAGTTGGCTAAAATAGTTGAGATTATTTAAAAGCTTCTGAAAGACTGTTTCTTTCATGCTTTAGCTAGAGATTCTTAAAACAGGAGGAATGTGTGCTGCTGGTTATGGTAGTTTCTTTATCATCCTCAAATAGACTTTGCTGCCCTGTGGTGGAATTCAGACATTTCCAAATCATGAGCCCTGCTCAAGGAAGTCACCGTGAGAGCAGATGTGTACAAAAGAACAATACAAGGTAGCAAGGGATGAGATGTCAACAAAGTAACAATTCCAGATAGCACTTCCTGTTAAATGCTGGATACACATACCAGTGGGTTTAGAAATTCAGGGGAGGTAGTCATTGTGGCTTAGGATACTTTGCCTAGCAATTTGATTTCCTTAGGGTGGGCCATTTCCCCAAAGCAGTTTTCTTTTTCTTTATTAAACCTTCTAAGTTAGTTTTAGGAAGTTTTAGTAATGATGGTGGGGTGATAGAGGGACGGAGCCAAGTGGTCATTGCAATGTACAGTACAACCACTAAAAACTCCTCTGCAGTGACATAGTATCTGAAGCTTGTCTGCAGCATTTCGGATTGGATGTATGTTCCTGACCTTCCTTCCAAAGCATTTGCTGGGACTTTCAATAAAGAATAATATACATTACTTAAAATAAACAGCAACAAAAAAGATGAGTCATAGATACCGCGCATGCTTTTTCACCTCAGGGCTTTTGTACATGACTTTACCTGTTCCAGGAAGGTCCTCTCCATGGCGCGCTTATCTGTTCTCTGCCCTCCTTTTCAGGGCTATATTCAAATGTCACCCCCTGTGACTTTCACTGACACCCTTTTACAAATTGAGCCTCACCCCACACTCTCTTTTTCCTGCTTTTTATTTTCTCCATAGCACTAACATACTCTGTCTTATACTTAAGTAATTAAGACAGAAGTTTTCGTAAGATTTGTTCACTTCTGTATCTACAGTGTTGTCTGGTATGTAACGGATGTGCAACCAAAACTTACTGTATTTATGAAAGGTCTGAGATTGCCCCCAGACACCAATGCTAGGAAGTGGTGTTCTGCTTTGGCACTAAATTCTACTCTGAGCATCTTGATATTTAAGACAAAAGACGAAGCATTAAAGAGGACAAAAGTAACAGGTTTGCTAAGTTTGTTATTAAACTTAGAATTAAAGAGCTTAAACTTTTAGCTTATACAAAAAAATAGCCTTTTTCACTTGAGTAAAAGATAGTGGTTGCAATATTTTTGAGCTACGTTAATTCTGTGGTCCCTTCTACTCAAAGGGTGTGTTTGTCACTTAACCTCTCTATGCCTTAATTTCCTCATCAATGAAATGTAATTGCAGATAATCTGTAATAACTCACCAGTTCCAAAGCAAAGCAAAATCAAACTGCATGGTTATTTTGCTGCCCTACTGAACCACGTCAAAAAGCCATAGTGAGTGCTTTCTCATCTTAAAAGGTCTCTTAGTTTTGACAGAAACAAATGTGACAAGTCTAAACTTTCAGGCTCTTAAAACCTTTTGAAACAAAATGATATATTTGAAATACAGAGCTATTAGTGACTCTTTTCACCATTTCTTTTAGTTTGTGCCACATAGTGCATTATTTAACATCCTTTAAGCAAATAAAAGAGTCCCTATTAAACATTTTATTCAAACATTAAAATGCAACTTAAATGTGAGTTGGACTATTGCTTGGTTAAATGAATATTTTTCTAAAATGAGATGCAGAGTTCTTTGAAAGAAGATATGAACTTGGAAGATAGAAATGTGTATTTTTAGACAGTAAGTATATTTTCATTAGTGCTATGGACTAATTTGTGACAAATGCCATTTGGTAGATGTCATCAATATTTCAATACAGACATAGCAGACTAGATGGTGACTTAAGTACCTCTATGCTGTGTAAAATTATGGTTTTATTTTTCAAAACATAGTTCTCAAGTTATTGCCATGACTGTGGCTAGGGAGTCCTTCTTAGTGGACTAACTTTACTGAGCAATAGGTGACATCCGGTTTCTGACTGCCATGGTGAAGGGGTATGAACTGATAGATTAGAAACCTTTAGCACCACAGGAGATGTTGATTTAGAGGCTGTAGAGCTCCAGGGCAGAGATAGTTATATTATTTTATATTGTACTGCTTGTGTACGTAAATCTCTGGCACGTAACATTTTAGAAGCACATTTCCCAGTGACCTGTGTATGCATGTGTGAATATGGCTAAAGCACATAGTTCCAGGGATGTCTGCAATATCCTGCATGTCCCTTATTCCTCCTACTATTGGCCTTCTCAACTGGCTTGGCCTTTACCATATTTTCCCCTGGGAAATGTTATCTGTTGCCTTCTTTGTTTCATAGAATGATACTAGGTTCATTTCAGAAATCTGCCACAGATATCTTTCTTTTATGATTTGGTTTAGACAGAATAATGTCATAAATATGAAATATTAATATTTAGTATTTTAGTTGCAGAAAGGAAGAGAAATGAGGCTGCCAAAGACTTGCTAAAGGTGACAGCTGTTGTAGATTCCACCACTCTGCCTAAATTAAGTGCTCAGGATTGGCAGATGCATATAACTTGGAATGTATACACCTGTCCAATGAGTATAAATAGAGACAAGCAACACATTGCTTCTACAGATTGTGAACAAAACAGCTGCTAGATGATAAAGTCCTAAAATGACTGCCTGCTGTAGTCACCCTAGAATCAGTGACCCAGAGGTGAAAGCTCATATATCCTATTATTAAATTGTGAGTCATCCAGATCTTCATGGGTAAAAGTGTAACACAATTTTTTTTTTGAGCAGAGTCTTGTTCTTGTTGCCCAGGCTGGAGTGCCATGGCACCATCTCAGCTCATTGCAACCTTTGCCTCCCGGGTTCAAGTGACTCTCCTGCCTCAGCTTCCCCAGAAGCTGGGATTGCAGGCACAGGCCACCATGCCTGGCTAATTTTTTGTTTTTTTCAGTACAGACGGGATTTCACCATGTTGGCCAGGCTGGTCTTGAACTCCTGACTCAGGTGATCCACCCGCCTCAGCCTCCCAAAGTGCTGGGATTACAGGCGTGAGCCACCATGCGGGCCCCATAAATTCTTTTTCTTTAAACCTTAAAGCACCCTGCATATTTTTGGAAACTATTGTGTTCAATATTGAGTTTGAATGCAATTGTCTTCACCCAGGTGAATTTATAGAATCTGTCATGCCCGGCATGGTTTCTGTAGTCCTGAAAATGTGAAGAATAACATAAGACTAAAATCTGTTTCGAAGTCACTCTACAAATTTGAAAAGAGGGAGTTAAGGCATATTTAAACTTGTCCTTCTGCGTGCAAAATGTGTGCAGTAACATTTGCTTTCATGCCTTTACTGACTCATTCCATTATTTTCCTCCACTTTCTACATCATTTCTCTTCAATAATTTGTTTCTTTTTTCTTTCCATTGTTCCTTTACTTTTTGAAATCTGTTTTTGATTTGCATTTGATTTCTCTAGAGGAATCCTCTGTCAAGTGCTAAGCCTAGGGGCCAGCAGGACTTTTTCCGAGGCATGCTGCATGGGTATTTCCTTTCTCTTCCAGCTGTCTGGAGATGAGGCTACATAGAGAAACCCTGCATTGCGTTCCACTGCCTAAAATATCGCAAATAACATTACAAGTACTACTGACCTAAGGCATCAGCTGATACCTTTAGAGTGTGATTTTCCCTCCTAAAGTAGAGCTCAACTTTTATACCTGAAGGCTCTTCCTTACTCCTGATACAAAAGACATAAAAAGAGATCGTTATAATTTAAACTCTCAGCTTT